ACACACCCGCATAGGATAAGTAGCAGTGACTGATATTCTAAACAGGTATCAGTCACCTGAGGCGGACCAAAATCTTCCCAGAAAGATCCCTGACCCACCCCTTACTAAAAATCCTTGCTCTTTCCTTGTACGCTTGCTACATGACCTGCTTCCCCATTGGATCCCCATTTAATCAATATCACCTGAGCCACTATACTTGTCGTGATCTTATCGGTTGAGCATAGTTTTGCCCACCTTGTGATTGCTCACTGGATCAATATTACCTAAGTGACTGTACTTGCAGTCTTACCAGTTGACTATAGTTTTGTCCCACCTTGAACCCGCCTCACCTTGTGGCTTTGTCCCATAAAGCACCTTTGAGAAGCAGGCTCAGCGGGCATCCTATTTTCTGGTTCCTTTTCTGTCTGTCTTAGGCAGAAGCTTTCTCTCAATAAATGTTGTCCTCCTCTTAACCTCCCTTGTTCCTAGATTCATTCTTCGATTTTAGACAATACTTTTTAGAACTTGCACTTCGGATATCTAGCTGGTTTTGGAGTTATGTCTATTCCTCCTATATCAAAATGTGAGCCAAAATATACCCCTCCTCCCTGAAGTTGCAGGTGTTGGGTACTGTGTCCCTTCGAGGAGACAGTGACCTAGACAGCGGCTTTCAGTGCGTTATAGCTCATGATGGTGTGGAGAACAATTTGAAGTAAGATGGAAGTGTATAACCCTAAGCGTGCTGTAACCCTAAAGTGTGCTGTGACTTTAAGAGTGCTGTGAGTGATATGTAACCCTAAGATATAGAAGTAGAACCTTAAGCGGTGTGGAATTGATAAGGATGAACCCCGAACTGGACAGGGCGTGGCCCAAAATGGACAGTGTGATAAGTCTGAACCAATACCACAAACGCCCAGTTAGAATAGTATAAAAGGCGCTGAAGACCTGAAGCAAGTCGACGATCCGTCCCACCGATCAGTCTACTAGTCAGTCTGTTGATCTGACTACCGACCGGGACACCTGCACCTGATCCCGCTGGAAGGAGCATCGCCGCCGACCAGACGAGACCAGAGGACGAGGCCAGCGGAGAGACGGACAGCCTAAGTGCTGACTCGACGCCCTTCGTCTATGGATCGGACCCTCTGACCCGACGGGAGGAAACGTCGCGCTCCCATAAGGACTTGCGCAGTACAGGTACAGGGACGTGGTAATTGGCAGACTTAATATTGTCTTATTAATATCGTGTGATAATTGCATAGAAGTGAATTATAATAATATAAGTGTGTGAGCTGCCATCCGAGTCTGAGTCCTCTTTACCCGCGGTAGCTGCTAGCGACAGATGGGGAAAACCCGTCCAGTTCTCAGTTAACAGGCAGCACTGAGATGGCTCGCGCGTCTTTGTCCTGACCTCTTACCAAGGACAGTTCAAGGACATTTACTCTGGGGTGGGGGATCCCCGGGGTCTCAGATGGGAGTTGGGAAAGGATCCCCGAAGGAGGCCCTGCCCACTCTCCCCGTGTCCATCGAGGCAGGGGCCCTAAAGGCTTATGGGAAAGGTGACTTGCTGGAGAGTTACTCAGAACACGACTGGGGCAGGACACAAGAAATAAGGACAGGTAAAAAGGACGCCAGAAAAATTAGAATTTTAAAATTGTACTTGAAAAAAAACAACAATTACAGGTTCAGGACCCGAAAGGTACTCAGGCCCTGATGAAATTCTGTTCTCTTTTACTCAGACACAATAAACCTGGGTAATTCCCTTTCACTCACACATGGGCTTTTTCACCTGCGAATGGGCCGCCTCTTCTCACCTGTAAATTGTTTGCCCCATCCTGAAGGGGGCAGCAGTACTTGCCAGCAGTGAGCAGCAAGATCTCCCTGCAAACACGGGGACCTGGCTTGCGTTCTGACGGAGCCCCCATGGGCGAGCTGGGAGACGGGAGGGACACACAGCCCAGATCACCCACGCTGACAACACCCTGGGCCCATACATATACCCAGCTCCGATCACAATGCGCCTCTCTCTCTCTCTCTGGCCCACACTCTATTTCTTTGAGTGTGTACTTTATATTTCTGCCTAATAAATAAATTACTGATGAGTGCTGCAAAACCCTTTGCTACAACGGGAGTCAGCAAGCCCGCATCTTAATTCTCCAGGTCTAAGAGCCCCTAGTATTGTAGACAGCTAAGCCGGTTAGAACTGCAATGGGGCAGTTAGGTGGGCGCAGCCAGAACAAAAGACAGTTGTAGCCTGAGGCTCATTACTAAAGGCCAGGCTTCAAGAAAAACAGAAATGACTCTACCCACATCCCCCTCGGGATGAACAGCAGTGACTGCCGTCCTGAATAGGACTCAATTGCCTTGGGTGGGGACCGGAACCTCCCTAGCCCATTCCTCCCAGAAATCCTTTTTCAGTTGGTCCACGTAGCTTGCTGCATGACGTGCTTCCACATCTGATGCCCATGTAACCAGTATTACCTATGCGACTCTACTTGTTGTAATCTGATTGGCTGAGCATATTTTCGTTCCACCGGGTGATTTCCCACTGGATCAGTATTAACTAAGCAACTGTACTTGTGACCTCATTAGTTGACGGTAGTTTTGTGCCCCCTTGTACCCACCTCACATCCTGGTTTTGCTCAATAAAACACCTCTGAGAAGCAGGGTGGGTGGGCAGCTCACTTTCCTGGCCCCTTTCTGTCTTTTATTTTATTATTATTATTTTTGGTACCGGGGATCGAACTCAGGCCCTTGCACTTGCACAGCAGGTGGCGAAACCACTGAGCTACATCCCCGGCCCCCCTTTCTGTCCTTCAGACAGAAGCTCTTTCTCCCAATAAATTCTTCCTTCTCTTAACCTCTGTTGCTCCTAGAATCTATTCTTCGATCTTAGAAAACCAGAACTCGGCGTGTCTGGACATCCAGCAGGGTGGGAGTTACAGTGTTTCCCTCACATTATTTGGGTTATTTGGAGGCCCTGGATCATCCATAGATCACACGCCCTGTATCCCTGAGACCTGTGTGTGACAGGACCTGACACGCTACGCCCCGCCACGCCCCGGCATATTTCTCTGCAAATACCGTGGCCACGGCTCTGTGGGCTGCAGAAGATGAGTTTATCCCAGGGCGCCTCACCAGCCTCAGTGGTGCTCTCCGGTCTGGGGCCCCGCAGCTGGGCCCCTCACGCCAGAGAGGCGGCTGTGGGTGCCAAGTCCCCTGGAGCTTGGGTGGGAGCCATGAGAGGCAGAGACCAGACTGAGGCCTGGGCCAGGCTGGGGATGGTGACCCCAAGGTCACCTCAAGGCAGAGGTGACTGGGCTCCTGGGCTGCTGGGCACGTGGCAAGAGGACGTGTCCAAGACTTCCTGTGGCTGACAGCGTAGCCGGCCGGGGATTCATGAGCGGAGAGGCCCAGTGTGGACCAGGAGGTGCAGACTCCTTGAGGAAGGGGTGGGCGGCAAGACAGAGGGTGGCCGGGGCCCAGAGGTGCCAGCAGGGGACAGGGGAGGCTGGGCTGGGTGAGCGTCACTAGCAGAGCCACTATGGTGAAGACTGACGATACAGGCCCTGGTGGATTCCAGGTCCTTCCAGAAGGAGCTGAAGGCTGGGCCTCACCTCCGGGGAAGGAGGCTGTGCATTGTGGAGCCTGGCCCCATCGAAGAGGCCCAGGGAGCCACTGCCCCCAGGAAGTCAGAGCCCTCAGGTCCTTTGTCCTTCACTGTCACCACACCCCCAGCCTGTACCGCCTCTCTGGTCTGAGGGCAGAAGTTGTCTCTGGGCACCAGCGCAGCCCGGCATTTAGGGCCCCCCCAGACTCTCAGCATGCGTGAAGGGACTGTCCTAGCCCTTGGAGCCCTCACGGGTGCCCGTGTCCACAGCCCAGGGAAGCCCCCGTCACCTGAGCCGCGGGCTCCCCCGTCCAGCTCCTCCTTCTGAGGACAGGCCCCCACCCGAAGGATCAGGGCACCGATCTCGGGGGCACCCATTCCTTCTGTCGCAGTGGCGCCCCGGGCACTGTTCACGCCAAGACACTTGACAGTCTGTGGCCAAGGCTCCAGACGAGCTCCATGGAGATGAGGAATCTGAGTCTCTGACCGCCTCCTGACCCGTGCAGGGCAGATGTCCCAACCCCTTGATATCTGTCCTCCCCTCAGTGGGCCCTGGGGCAGGGCCCTCGTCCCTGGTCGAGGGGTTCAGAAACCCATCACACATTCTCACAGAGTCACACACACACGCAGCACACACAGGCTGGGCCTCAGCTCCAGAGATGGCGTCCAAGGAGCCATGGCAAGAGAACAAATGGCAGCACCACCTTGCCTGCCCTTCTCCGGCTGGCAGCCACCACGGACGGGCACCAGCCCTAAGAGGGAGTAAAGAAGAGCCGGGGAGGTAGCTCGGTGGCACCGCGCCTGCCTGACCTGGGCAAGGTCCTGAGTTTGATCCCCAGTACTGGGAAAAAAAGAAAAGGAGTCGAGAAGGCTGGAGCCCTAAGCTCTGCATTCCAAGAGGGGTCAAGAGGAGCCGAGCACTTCTGGCCAAGTGGCCTCCTGGCCGCCCAGCCCCTTCCCCACTGCCAACAGAGCTGGAGGGGTGAGTGTGGCTGAGCATTTCCTCAGAGTTAACAGAGGGGCCAAGGAGCTGGGCATAGTGGTGCACACCTGTGATCCTAGCACTCAGGAGGCTGAGCCAGGAGGATTGTGCTGAGGTCCAGACCAGCCTGGGGCTCCATAGCAAGAGACTCATCTCAAAACACAAACAAAAAAAGGAAAGAAAGAAAGGTCGGCCAAGGAAGCTCTAGGGGCCAACCCACTTCTCTGGGTGTCAAGAATTTGAGAAGTGGGTGGGCCAGGGATTTAGCTCAGTGGTTCTGGCGCCTGCCTCACAAGCACAAGGTCCTAAGTTCAATCCCCAGTACCAAAAAAAAAAAGAATTTGAGAAGTGGGCTTCTCCCTTAACCTGCTTTATACCCACCCCTTTCACCTACCCATGAAACATGGCGGGGGCGGGGGGGGGAGCCAGTTCTAATTGGTTTGGGCCCATTTATTATTTATTAGACTCAGTAACAGACACAAGGTCAGGGTGGTGGCCCCTCCCTGAGCGCATCAGAACAACACAGGCTGACTGTGGGGACAGCAGGTGTGCACGACTCCCCTCTCCCTAAACTCAACACACGGGGCACAGGCTCACAATCTACACTTTGCCTTCATGCTGGAAGATGAGGCCCCGAGGACGGTAAGGCAGAGGACGAGTTGTTAGCTGCGTTACATGGCGTCGTCGGCATGCACGGCACTGACCCCTCTTTGTCCCCCTGCGTTGTGCAGACCAGCGAGGGACCAGCAGGGCCAGGTGCCCAGACCAGGATGCCAGGCCCCGGCTTATTTGTATGCCTGTGGGTGATTGGTCGGTTTGGCTCAGGGGGCGGAGTCTCCAGGACTTCTGCTTCATGGGTGTCCAGGCTCATTCCTGTCCCAGCTCTCTCCTGCTGGGTGCCCCTCTGGTCACCTGCAGGCCTAGAGATAAATGCCCGGTCTCCTCGTCGTGGCACTCCCAGCATCACCTGCAGTGCAGGTGAGGTGAGGTGCAGCTACTGGAGCTGCTACTCTCACTACAAGCACCCTCCTCAAGGGAGTGGAAGGCAGGAAGCAGACACAGGGGGCAGTCCACAGATACCTGCTGCCCAGGCATGACAGGCTGGGCACAACTGCTCCTCACAAATGACAGGCACACGAGGCCTTGCCCACGAGGCACCCTGGCATCTCTGAGACTTCCACAGGCTCAGGACCAGGAGAGACTGCAGTTGAGAAGTGAGGGCTAGGGACACCAGGGAGACACATCCCCTCAGGACCCAGAGGGAGGCCAGCAAGGCAGGGACGTGGATGAGAGGCTGAGGGCACACGGTCCCTTCTGGCTCCTCTGAGTGTGTGCGGGACACGTGGACCTACCCTGGGATTCTAGGGGATGACCCCACTGCATCCTCACAGGCAGGCTGAAAGGTTTGGGGAAAGCCAGAAAGCATCAAAAAGGGTCTCATCTGGGGACAGCTGGCCGCCGCTCAGGCTCTGCCTGGGCCGCCCCCTCCTCCCTGCTGGGGCTCGGCACAGCGGGACCAGCAGTACCCGGGCTCCCGCGACAGGCAGCCAGGCTCTGATGCCCCCAGAGGGGGTGGGCACGGAGGACAGAGGGACGGAGGGCCGTGCAGGGGACAGCAGGCTGAGGAAGGATGCGGGGGCCAGGCTGGCTGTCCCTCACCTGCCCCTAGTTGTGTGAGAAGCCCCCGTGGGAGAAGGCAGGGAGGCCAGGGGCACAGGCGGCGGCCAGGGGCAGGCAGGCCAGGGGGTTGAGCTCGCAGGCGCCAGCGTCCTGGCCCCCCTGGAAGTACACGGAGTCAGCAGAGCGGAAGGAGGGGTCCTCGTCAAAGAAGTTGTAGGGCCGCAGGAAGAAGCCCACCCCGTTCCCCGCCGTCACCGTGTTGGGGACGTCCTCTGCGTGTGGGATGTGCAGGAATCCAGCTGTCACCCAGGCCACCAGATACTGGCAGGGGCAGGAAAGGAGGCCCTGAGACCAGCTTTGTGGAGACGCACCTGCCCGCTTCACTTCCGGCAGTGGCCTGGGGGGACAGCTTTCACTCACTGTCATGCTTGCCTAATTTCTCAGGAAAAGGAAAAATCATAAAGTGTTCTTCTAAACTGGGCGTAATGGCACATACAGGTAATCCCAGCACTCAGAAGGCTGAGACAGGAGAATCACTGAGTGTTCAAGGCCAGTCTAGGCTACATAGCAAGATCCTGCCCATCCCCTTCAAAAAATAAAATGCCGGGCCAGGGATTTAGCTCAATGGTGCCGCCGCCTGCCTCAGAAATGCAAGGTCCGGAGTTTGATCCCTGGTACCAAAATCAACAAATAAAATGTTTTTCTTACTGGGCTCTAAAGACCCCTGAGGAATGTGGCTGGGAGAGAGCCAAGTGGCTCCCTCTTGGTCCCCTGCCAGTCCACTCCTGCCTCCCGGTGCAGCTACCTGCCCTGCTATGGTCTCATTGCCAGAGAAGTCACTGACATCCACAGTGGGCGTCCAGGGGTCATTCAAGTTGCAGATGCTGGAGCTGCTGGGCTCCCCTTCCTTCCGCTGGGTCACAGCCACGCAGTACCTTCGGGCGGCGTTGAGGACATCAACAAAGTCATTGCACTGGTCCCCCTGGCCCAAGCGGTGCTGGAGGGCAACAGGAAGAGCAAACAGACACAGTGCGTGGGACCCAGAGCCTCTGGGCGGTTCTTGCCACTCTGTCTCCTGACCCCAGCAGGCTCCTGTGCTTGCTCAGTACCGTGTGTCTCAGCTGCCACAGCCCGCACCCCGATCGAGACAGGACTGTCACACGCACTTCCTTCCAGATCTGAGCCTGGTGTGGAGCCTGGGCCTTGATCCTGGTGCACAGGCCACACCTGGGACCTCGAGGCCTGGACTGAAGGGAATCCACCCTCCATCCGCGTTCCTTTTACCCTTTGCTTCTTTTCTTCCAAACTTCATTGTGAACATTTTAAAAATACAAAAAAGGTCAGGTGTGGTGGCACACGCCTGTCATCCCAGCACACAGGAGGTTGAGGCAGGAGGATCGCTGTGAGCTCCAGGCCAGCCTGGGCTACACAGTGAGACCCTGTCTCAAAATTTAAAAATACAGAAGAGTTGGAAGATCACACAGTCAACACCCACAGGCCCTCAGTCTCGACGCTGCCCCTGGCGTCCTGCTGCATCTGGCCACGGGTGGCCTCCGCCCTTCACCATCTACCTGTGCACCCAGGAAGTGAGGTCCCGGGAGCTCTGTTCACCTGTCATCTCCCCACTCACCACACCCAGCTGAAGGCGCCCCCCATGGAGCTGTTCGGGGGCAGCAGCTCCCCGGCAGGGCCCAGCGTCTGCACGCGGTAGCCCCGCGGGTGCCCCCACTTGTTGCTGCGGTTGCTGGCCAGGTACAGGTAGCGAGGGGTGGCCCCGCCCAGGGCGAAGGCGGCCTGCTCCTCCGTCTCCAGCAGCTTCCGGGTCACCTGCAGCCTCTGGATCTGGTGCTCAGGGCGCCAGGGCACAGCCGCGGGGAAGAAGGCCAGGTCCTCGGCCCAGACCCAGTTCTCCGGTCCTGTGGGGGTGTGGGGTGGACAGGCAGCGCCTGGCGTCAGTGTGGGGGCCGCAGAGCAGCCGGGCTGAGGGGCCCCGCACCCCTCTCTGCAGGCCTCCAGGATTTCCACGTCCCCTAGCCAGAGATCTGTGTGCACTGCCAGGGACAGAGCTCAAAGGGCACCACTTCCTCCCACGCCCACGGGGATGCAGACAGGCAGAGCACTGCCTGGCCTGCGTGGGGCAGCTGACTCCTCAGCCTGGCCCAAGGCGGTCACCAGGGCAAAGCCAACACGGCTGAGGGCTGAGTGAGTGCCAGGGACATGGGGACAGGGCCTCAGCTGTGGGAGGACAGGGGAGGTTGCGTGACAGGTGGTGCCAGTGCGGGGAGCAGCAGGCTGGGCGCACAGCAGGCTGGCACCGGGGCTCTGGGCACAGCGTGAACCCGGCGTCTGAGAGCGTCCAGCACAGCTCGCTCAGAGAGGGTGGGGCACCGCGGGCAGTGGGCGGCTGCAGGACCAGCCAGAGTCCGGAGCTACTTCGAAAGCCGGACAGAAACACGTGTGCTGAACTCAGTGCAGAGAAGGAAAGTGAGACAAAGGTGAAACCCCAAGGCACCAAGGAGCATCGTCTCCTCTCCGGCCACTCCAGGAGCTTCCCAGAATTCCGCATGGGGTCCACGCTGCCCTCCCGCTCCAGTGAATGGCGCCTGAAGACAGGCAGGAAATCAGGGAGACGGAGGCTCCATCACAGGATACAGCACCAGCAGGGGCCTCTCAGGCTGGCCTGGGCCCAGGCAGAGGGCATCCAGGTCCTGCGCCGGAGCACTCACCCTCAGACACACAGGGAAGTGGCGGGACATGGGACAGGAGAGGCAGCGGGGACCCAAAACCCAGCCCTGCCTCCTCCCCTGCCCAGCCCAGCCCAGGCCCAAGATTTCCTGAGGCTGTCAAGAGGAGGCCAGCAGGGCCAGGGATTTAGCTCAGTGGGTTCACCACCTGCTGCGCAAGCGTAAGGACCCAAGTTTGATCCCCGGTACCAAAAAAAAAGAGGAGGCCAGCAGCTGTGCACTCTGAGGCTGAGCAAGATGCACACAAACCTAGCAGCCAGCTCGCTCTCCTGCACTAAGAGGGAGGCCTGGGATACAAGGCTCTGTCCTGGAAAAACTACACAGAACCCAAAGCAAATGGGGACCGCTCTTCAGCGCCTCTTACAGAACTCTCACCCTGGCGGAAGTCTCACCTGCCACGTCCAGGTCGACCTTGAAGTGGATGCTGTGCGTGTGGACCGTGCCCAGCACATGCTCCCCGACTCGGTTCCCGTACCGTTGGGCAGCACCGAAGAAGAAGGAGGAGCTGATGTAGCCCGTGGCATGGACTCTGACTTCGATGGCCCCGTTGGGGTGGAAGATCACGTCCCACACATAGTCATAGTTGAGCAGGGTGGCCACAGACCTGACCACCAGCACCGTGTCCGCGACGCCCCCATAGTAATGGGAGTAGAAATCTGAGTGGTGTCGCCGCAGGGGGAGGCCCTGGTTCTGTTCAAACACACACAGGGCGTCTCGGATGGTCTTGGGGGCCTGAGATCCCACCAGGAAGTGCCGGTCCACGTAGGTGGCCAGGTAGGGGCAGTCCACCCCACGGGCCAGGGGCGTGGAGTACTTGCCAATGCCAAAGCTGCTGTCCATGTAGTGGGTCAGCATTGCCGCCGGGGAGTTCCCCCCGTAGACGGCCAGGGCCTCCTGGACGCTGACCTCGTAGGCCACCCTCTCACCCCGGAAGCGGATGTCAAAGACCCTCGGGCCACTGAAGGCTCCTAGGCCAAAGGAGAAGGCCCACAGGGAGGAGGCCACGCGACTGCCCTGGACACTGAAGCGGGGGCCTTGTGGGGGGAACTGCAGAGGGGGAGCTGGGCCCGGGGGCACCGGCGACTTCAGGGACCAAGCCCCACCTGTGCCATTGTCAGGGACGGGCACCACCTTCACCAGGCCGGCCTCAAACAGGTGCTCCAGCCAGGTCAGGCTCTCATAGTAGCGGCCCTGGAAGAACACCTGCCGCACGACCCAGCGGGCTGGCTCCGGGGCCCCGTGGTCCACCAGCAGCTCCAGCCCCACGGGGTGCAGGAAGATGCCAGCACCTGAGACGTTGTAGTAGAGGCCGAACCAGGTGGCCCGGTCTCCTGACTGCAGGCCACGGGGCGCCGTGGTCATTGCCACCAGCTGGCCAGGTGTGTAGAAGCAGCAGTGGTGGAGAAGCCCCGCAGCCTGGGGCAGCTCTCGGTCGAAGAGCAGGTGGTCGATGTCCTGGTACTCTCGGGCCAGCACAGGGCGCCGGTGGTAGGGCAGGGGGCCGCCGTAGCGCTCCACGGTGACGTCCCGCAGGTAGGACGGCTGGGGCAGTGGCCCCACCACCAGCTCGCTCACGTTGGGCTGGGCCTGGGCCCCAAAGAACACGATGGCCAGTGCCTCCCGGGCGGGTGGAGGGGCCCCTGCGTCCATGTGGGCCAGGGCCGCGGCCTTGGGGGGCAGCTGCAGCTCCACTGAATACACGCAGGTGTCCGAGGGCCGGGCCTGGGCGGCGTCCACCAGGCCCGGGCCCAGCCGCAGGGTCAGGAAGCTCAGCACGGCCGCCAGCTCCTCTGGGCTCAGGTCTGCAAAGAGCTGGCCGGGGCCAGGGTGCATGTGGGCCTGGGCAGTGGGCGCGGCTGACGGGCATGGGGGCTGCTGGCCAGGTTGGGGCCCATCTCCACTCCTGCTGGCCAGCAGGACACAAACCAAAGCGAAGATGGTGATGACGGCCAGCGCCAGCAGCACCAGGGTGGTCTTCTGGTTCATGCTCCCTTGAGTGCAGCCAGGCTTCCCCTAGGCTGGGGCTGTGAGTTCCCAGCCAGCGCTGGAGGGGCTTGGGCTAGCCGAGTGGCCGAGCATCAGACTGAGGTTCCCAGCGGTTGCAGCCAGGCTGCGGGTGAGACTGAAGCTGGGAGAGGTGGGGCGCAGGCTTGGGCCAGGCTGGAGGGCGGGTCTCAGCCACCTCTGTGATTTCCAGACCGTACATGGCTCTGTCCTCCCAGCTCCGAATCGCTCTGCTCTGGGTCAGGGTTGAGCCTGGGGTGGGGGTGGGGCGGCTGGTTGGGGGCCCCACCCTCGGGAGAAGCAGGGTCCCCCTGCAGCCCCCGGGCCCCCCCAGCCTGCTACATCCCCACCCCCACTTCCGCTGGGCCAGATGTCCTCTCTGCTGTCCCTGGGATGCCTTACCTCCAGCCCCTGCAGCTTCCAGAGCCAGCAACATTCCTTGGCCAGGTCTCCGGGCCTGGCCTCTCTCCTCCATCGCTGATTTCCTTGGCCTGCTTCCTCCATATTCCCCAGGGTGCTGTAGACACTTAAAAAGTCAAACAGAATCAACTCAAGGGAAATTCTTGGAAGACTTTTTATTATCACTTCCTTCAGAAGGCCCAGGCACGAGGGAATGTCTGGTATCACGTGAACACCAGCTACTTCTGAGGGGGAGGATTTGTGGTGTTTCTGTACTACTATTTCAAAATCATTTTGATAAATCTATCACGTAAAAAAACTGAGCAGAAAATGGGAATTCACCAGAGGAATGTGTGGGCCTTTATTGTGGGAGTTTTGTTTCTGGGAGCAGGTGTGACAGAATCACAGGTGACCGAGGGGAAGGAACACGTGTCCCCCACGCCCGATGTCCTGACGCACCCACTGCAGGCCTAGAGGCCTTGGTAAGTGAAAGGGGGCAAGTGGGGGATGCAGGCTGCAAATCAGGGGGTGCAGGCCACAGGGTTGGCACTGCAGAGCCCGGCATCCTGGTCCCTGTCAAAGTAGATGCTGTCAGGGACAGAGATGGAGGGTCCTCATCAAAGAAGTTACAGGGCTGGAGCAGAAGCCAGCTGTTTTCCCCACAGTCACTGTGTTGGGGATGTTCTCAGAGTGGGAAATGTGAAGGAAGCTGGCTGTTACCCAAGCCACCAGATCCTGCAGAAGGAGGAGGAGCTGGATGGCGAGGGAGGCAGGACTGGAAGAACCAGCCTCCAGGGCTACACTGCCCAGCCTCTGCCCAGCCCTGGTCCACACAGCAAGCACATGACTTTGTGTCCAGGGCTCCTCAGCCACCCCAGGCATGAGCCCTGGACCCCAAATCTGAGAGGAAACCATTCCCTCCAACCTATGGCTGGAGGCCGGCAGCCAGGATGGCGGGCACGGTCTGTGCTACCAACCTCTCCTAAGAGGGTTTTGTGCTGGTGAAATCGGCAAAGGCCCCCACGGGCAAGCAGAGGTCATTGTGGTAACAGATGCTGCTGCTCCTTGCTCCTGCTCTTTCCTCCGGGTCACATCGAGCTGCTATCTGGCCGGAATTGTGGTGGGAGGGCGGTGTGGAGAACACCAAGTGCCTGTAGGCCCAGAAGTCCTCTGGACCCAGTTCCGTGAGGCCCCTGCCCCCCGACGTACCGGGTTGAGGGCATACCTGGGGGAGGTCACCCGTGGGTTCCGAGTTGGGGCCACTCCCTCCTGGCCCCCAGCCCTGTCCTCACCTCCTCCAGCTGAGGGGCCTCTCAATGTTGCTTTCCAGGGGCACGTGGACGCCAGGGCGCTGTGGATCTGCACTGGGTGCCCGTGCTGGTGACCCCAGGCGTTCATCTGGTTAGTAAGCCAGGTAGAGGTGGCGGGGGAGGGGCTGCCCAAGGAAATGCTGCCAGCTCCTCCCTGCCCAGCACCTGCCAGGTCAGCTGCAGACACTGCAGCCAGTCTCCGGGCTCCAGGGGGCAGCCACGGGCTTGAACACCGTGTCTTCCGCCGCCACCTAGTTGTACAGCCCTGCAGGGGAAGGGAAGGGAAGGAGAGGAGTCTGTGCCAGGTCCAGTCGCTGTCTGGTCCCTCGTCTTCCCCAGGGTGTCCACAGCAGTGACCTGATCCAAGGGTCAGAGTCTGTGCCCAGTGCTGGACCTGGGCGGGCTGGGCCAGTGCTAGTCCAGCTTCTAACTTGCCCTGTCCAGTAGGTCAAGTCCCATGTGGCTATTTAAAACTTTAGCTGGGCTGGTGGCACATGCCTGTAATCCCAGCACTTGGGAGGCTGAAGCAGGAGGATCACTGTGACTTCAAGGCCAGCCTGAACTACATAGTGAGACTCTATCTCAAAACTACCAAGAAAAAAAAAAAAAGTTACAGCTTCAGTTCCCCAGTCACGCAGCCTCACTGAGAGCACTCCTCCCCACATCCAGCTGGAGGGCCATGTAGAACATCACAGAGCAGAAAACTGCTACCGTCACATCAAGTGCTCCAGGCAAGGACCCAGCGGCCTCTGGGTCTCGTGCTCTTGTTACTCTGAGGCTCTGCTCTGGGCCTAATTAAAGCTGAGCTGTTACCGAGCTCAACAGTCGGAAAAGCACCTCGCACTGCCTGGGACCTGAGCGCGCCGTGACGTCGAAGGGGATGCATGGAGAGGCCAGCTGGGAGGACCCCCCCATCCGCCCAGCTCTGGGACTCCTCGGCCTTCCACCCCCACGAGGCAGCAGGCAGTGGTTCCTTCCAGAGTCTGTCTCTCCACTGTCTGAAGCGCCTCGGAATCTACGGTCCTGCAGGCTGTCAGCAAGCACGGTGGGGGCCACTCTTGTGCGGGGCAGGAGAGCTCGCCCCTAACCATGTGGCCCCACACCCATCCTCAACCGGGTGTTCCCGAGTCTTTACTGCCAGGGGTGCTGAGGAGCGACCTCCAGCAGGGGAGCAAGCGTCACAGTCCGAGCGCGGGACAGCAGGCCGGTGAACAGGACCGCTTGAATGGCGTCCCGGTTCCTCCCTCCCCTCCCACAGCCAGCCCTGCCACTGGCGCTGCAGGCTGCTCGAACCCTCCTCGGCCTCCTCCTGTTCCCCGCTGTAAGGTCAGGCCCTGGTGGATTTCTAACTTGCTCCTGGGTCTGAGTCCGCAACCTGATGGGACTTTCCTGTGTCAACCAAATCCAGGAGCAGCAAGTCCTCTCTGAGCTTGTCTCCCTTGAGAAATCCCCCCACATTCAACAGCGAGCCTCCGGCCAGCCAGCCACATCCCGCGTCACCGTGACGAGGAGTGAGTGGTCTCTTCATGAGGGCACTCAAGGTGCAGCACCTCCAGCCACAGTCACCCATGCCCTGGTCCACCCTCCTGTGTCTGCCTCTGCTCACCCAGCATTTGGAATTAGTGGGCAAGAGGCGAAGGGCCGGCTCTCGCCCATCTGGCCTCCCCAGAGAGGCGCCTGGTGGCCTGAGGCTGAGGCATTAGACACGAGCATTGCGTATTGCAAGCACTTTCACAACAGTGAGGCTGCGGGGCGGGAGACAGGGCCAGGCAGAGCCCCTGGCACCACTGGTCGGATTCCAGCAGCCTCTCATCGGATATGGAGTCCCTGCCCCGACCTGGCCCAGCCCTCCGTCCTCGCCTGGCTCCAGCCACATCCCGGTCCACCTTGAAGCGGAAGGCGTGTGCGTGCCCCCCAGCATGTGGTCCCCCACTCGGTTCCCAAAGCGGAGGGTGTCCACACCCCGTGCAGCAGGGCTGTATTGATGTAGCCCGCAGCATGGACCTGCCCCTCCAAGGCCCCACTGGAGTGCAGCATGAAGCCCCAAATATAGTTGTAGTTCCCCACAGAGGTCACTGACCATACAAGGGCCAAGCCGGCCACACCCCACGGAAATGACTCTCAATGCAGCGGAGGTGCCTGCGCAGGAGCGGCCCTGGGAACAGCTGCATCACCACCCCTGTAGCGTGCGCGTGTCCATGGTGGCGGCCTGGCAGGGGCAGTCTATGGCTGCACCAGGTCTGGCTGTCACAACCAAGCCTGCAGGTGCTGCCCACCTAGCAGGTCACTACGGTCTTAGGCGAGTCGGCACCACACACAAACTCTCCTGGAGGCTGATTTTGTAGGCCACTCACCCTGAAACTAGACACCAAACATCCTCAGGCCACTGAACACCCCAAGGCCACAGGTCAAGGTCCAGAGTGGGGACACCACCGAGTGCCCGCGCACACTGTACTGGGAGCAGAGGCACCTGACCACCTTAGCTGGCCCAAGTCTGCATAGCAGCGGCCGAGGGAGAGGACCTGCTGGACAGCGGGCCGGCTCCAGGGCTCTGTGGTCCAGCAGCAGCTCCAACCCCACAGGGTGCAGGAAGACACCGAGGCCCGAGACATCGTAGTAGAGGCCAATCCAGGTGGCCCGGTCCCCAGCGTGCAAGCCTGAGGGTGGTGTGCAGAGGCATCAGGGTGCAGGCGCTGTAGTTGAAGACGGGAGCCAGGAAGCTGGGTGACCTGGGGAGCTCCACCTCTCTCACCTGCTTCCACATCTGCAAAAAGCTCCCAGCAGGGGGCGCCGGCGGGAGGGCAGGGGCCGCCATAGCACTCCACGGTGAGGTGGGGCTGGGCCTGGGCCCCAAAGAACATGATAGCCAGGGCCTCTGCGGCAGGTGGGGGCCCCCTGCATCCATGTGAGCCAGGGCCGCAGCCTTGAGCGGCAGCTGCAGCTCCACCGATTAGACGCAGGCCTGGGCCACGTCCACCATGCCCGGGCCCAGCCGAGCGGTCAGGAAGCTCAGCACGGCCACCAGCTCCTCTGGGCTCAGGTCTGCAAAGAGCTGGCCGGGACTGGGAGGTGGCTGCAGTCGACAGGCAGTCAGGAGGCCGGCTGGCAAGGTCTTGCTGGTCAGCAGGACACAGGGCAGAGGGAGGACAGTGACAGGACAGCCCAGGAGTACCAGCAGCACCCTGGGAGTCACAGTGCGAGCCATGGTTCCGGACAGCCGCTCAGGGTGGCCTTACATTCACTGGAATGGAGGGGAACGGAGAGAGCGCCACCCTGCAGGTTGGGCAGCATAGTTGACCTTGTTTTATAATTCAGTTCCAATTTTCTGTCCTGCAGTTTGGCTCAAGGTGCTCCTTCCAAATGCAGAGCCTCATGGTCCTGAGCTCCGCCAGGAAGCAGGTAGGAGCTGCAGTACTGGCATCCACTGTGGGACAAGGGTCAACTCCAGCTGCTGCCTGGGACAGCCACAAGAGCCTCTGCACCCTCCCAGGCCTTACCATGGCCAGGCAGCATGGCCTGCCAGCTCCATGTCCACTGCTGCTGGGTAGGCAGCACTCAGTTCTGCTGGGGCCCAGCCGAGGCAGGGCCTGGGGCCTCAAGCCTTGTCTAGGTGGTGAGAAAGGCCCAGGTGGGTCCTGGGCTGAGCCTTTGGATTTGTACACAGAACCCAGCTCTGTAAGCCGAGATCTCAGGAATCACACACATCAAGTACTCAGCCCACCAACAGGGCAGGCAGCCAAGACCGTGCTATCACCCTGCACAGAGAGCACCGCAGAGGGATCACCACTAAGCCCCTAAAACCCTGCTTGCAAGGTGAGAGTGGAGGAAAATATTTCAGAGGGAGATCAGGAGTCCTAGGCAGCCCTCCAAGCAATGTGAACCCAAGACCAGGCATCTCAGGCCTAAGCCAGAACTAGGGAGGACAAGGCAGGGTGTGGGGCACAGTGCCCTCTACTGGCAGCTCTGGGTATCACCGGGAGGACAGGACCCTTCTAGCCACAGGCGCAAGGGACAGAAGCCAGTCTGGCTAAAGCCAACTTCAGTGTTTAGACTGAACTTGAGCCCCCCCTGCGCTGGGCAGGAGCCTCAGTCTCTCTAGGACCCTGGAGGGTGGAGGGCTAAAGAACGCTCGTGGGCAGGTTGGTGACCATGGAGGCAGATCTGCACATGCGTGCACAAACCCATGGTTTTGTCCTTTCCACCAGAGCATGGCACCAGGGTCTGCAACTTTAGAAAGAGGTCCAAGTACCTGTATTTTTAATAATTTCTCAACATGGTAAAAGAATTTTACATTACGATCCAAGGGGTGAAGGGCGTGGAACGGTGGAATAGCAGACAGGAGGGGGGCACAGGGCAGGGAGGAGCACTGCGAGGGCTGGCAAGACAGCCCCCTCAAGGCGGCTGGCTTGTTACTGAGCACTATCTGGGAAGAGCGCCGGAGGAGGAACGATGCATCCCAGGCTGGAAACATGACCAGGGCGTGGAAGACAGAGACGGGGAGGAATGAACATCGGACAGGTGGTGAGGGTCACCGGCAGGCTGACCGCAGGCAGCAACTCCCAGTGGTAGCAGAATAAAAACAGTGGGGCAACAGGGTCCCCATGGAGGCTGGGACAGTGAGTGGCATCTCTGGGCATTCAAGAGGCGGCAACGGTTGTGACCTCTCAGCATAGCTACACACACACACACACGCACACACACGCGCACACACATGCACGCACGCACGCAAACGATGCTTTCCCTGGAAGCACAGCACAATAAACAGGAGAATTCCCGGAGGGAAGGCCCGGCCCTTGGCTCTCAGGGCCTGCTCCTCCGGAGAGCACAGCAGAGGGCGGACGGCTGTGACTGCAGCCTTCCGGAACAGTGCCTGAGACTGCTGCCGCCTCTGGGAAGGCATGAGGGGCCTGGGGCGGAAGGGGGTCGGGTGGAGCAGCAGGTAGGGGTGACACCTCAGGGCCAGGAACCCAGTGCAAACACGGGGGCTCTCAGCTGAAGGCCTGGGGTGTTCCTCGCCAGGACAACGTTCTAAGTGGTTTGAATGCAGACAGGAAACCTAAGTTGTCACCAGGGTGACTGCGGCAGGGCGGTGCCAATGTCTCCCAGGGGCAAGAGATGCCAGCCTTCTGCCAGGAAGAGAGGACAGCTCCCTGCCACCCAGCTCCTAAAACACCTAGCACGTGCCCTGTGGTCCCTCAGCTGCCACCCAACTAATCATCGAAAGGAAGAAAATACAAAGCCTAAGACATGGGAGCGAGATGGGGAGACACAATCCTACGCCACCGCCCCGTGCGCGCGTGCATGCACACACGCACGCACGCCTGGAGTTCTCCAGAAATGAGCGCAGGCCAGGTGGGGCTAGGGAGGGAGACAGAAGAGTTCCTGAGGCCTGAAAAAAGAGGTAAACACGTCACAGGACTAGATGAGAGTTTCATTAGACTAACTAAAAACAGAGGTGTGGTTACGACTTCCAGCCAGGCTCCCACGGAGAGACAGTTAGGTAACAAACCAGGGTGACCTGGGTCTCGGTCTCTGTCTGGGTCTCGGGCCAGACTCACAGAGCCCCGGCCCCGCCCAGCTTCAGTACAGCGTCTCCGCGTTGCTGCTCCGGGGCCGTTTGATCTTCTCAATGTTTTTCAGGATCATGTCGTGTAGAGTGACCTGCGAGGAGGGACACTGGGAGTCGAGCTCTGTCAGGCCACCACCACACTCACCTGAGCCGGGCCCGAGGCCACCCCAGTGGACTCACTAAGCCCTGGAGCCCATTTTGTGCAGACGATAGAGGATCCTCTGCAGCCAGCTCAGAGACAACCCGAAGCAGGAGCTTGGACAAGGCAGCGTCTCACATGGAACTAGGGGACTTTGTGGAGCTAAGCGTCTCACTGTGCTGCCCAGGCTGGCCTTAAACTCCCCACCCTCCTGTCTCAGCCTCCGGAGTTCTAGCCATTTTGCCGCCAGCCCAGTCTCTCAGAGCACAGAGGACCAAGAGAAGCCCGCACTGGGGGCCAGGGCTGGGCGACTCACGTATTGGTTCCGCAGCTCCGAGATGATGAGCCGGAGGCTGATGTACTCCTTCTCGTCGATCTCTGTCACGGTGCGGCGATAGTCCTCCTGTGGGGCGCAGCACAGGGCTCGTCCCCAGTCTGCCCAGGCAGGCCGCGCGTGCCCAGCAAGGCCGCCCTCCGCCACAGCACCAACTTACCACATGGGGATACTTAGCTATTTTAGAAACCAACTTGGCTCTGGTAATATAGTATCTGGAAAGAGAGAGGACAGAGGGAAGCTTCGGGGCCCCAGCCAGCGCCTCCCCGCCCCCATCCGGGCCAAGCCCATGCAGCCGCACCTGGAGATCTGGTCCAGGTAAGACGCAGCTTCACTCTCAACAGTTCTTAGTTCTGCAACTGTCTCCTCCTGGGGAAAAACAGTGAGTCAAAAGCCCCTTCAAAGCTGGGCACAGTGGCACGCACTGGGAGCCTGAGGCAGGAGTATTATAAGTTCCTGCTCAGCCTGGGCAATTTAAAAGAAACTCATCTCAAAATTTAAGAAAGGAACTGGGGGTGTCGCTCAGTGCAAAGGCCCTGGGTTCAATGCCCTGTATTAGGAAAGCCACTTCCACTTCACTCCACAGCAGCCCTAAAGGAAAGGGAAGGGCAGGCAGGGCCGGGGAGACGGAGCCCTCCCGCAGCCTTCTCCCCGCCGGGCAAGGCAAGCACGCTACCTGAATGGACACCCCAAAGTTGTTTCCATCTTCTATCCTGGGAATCAGGAGCTGTACCCACATCTTGACCTGAACGGTGAGAGACCGGACGTGTACACATGAGGGCCTCGGCCTTTTCTGTGCTTTAGAGCCACGATTTACGCTGCTGGGTCACACGCCAGGGCCACAAAAGCCAAACCAGGACACTGGGCCCCGGCCCCAGCCCCGCGCCTCCAGCCCTCGCCAGGCGTCTCAGTTGCGGTGTCACCAGCCCCGCGCACCGTGTTACACTTCTCGATCAGCAGCCGGATCTCGGGCTTCACTTTCTCGATGATGTCCACGAGCTGCTGGTTGCTCTTCAGCATCCCGTTGGGCATCACGAACACCTTTGTTCCTGGCAGGGAGGCGAGGGCCAAGCAGTTAGGGTGGACAGAAGGTCACACTGTCTTCGATCTTTCTCTCCTTCCCCAGACCCACAAGCTGCTGCAACTTCTTTTCTGCACCTCAACCCTACCACGACACCACTACCAGAATCAACAGATGAGTGAAGCAAAAGACGAACAGCTGAGCTATGCCAAGAGTTTTAAGAATGCAGAACAATCTTTATTTTGTGGTATTGGGGATTGAACCCAGGGCAGCTTTCACACTGAGCCACATCCCTAACCTTTTTAAAATTTTTTATTCATTTTAAAAATTTATTTATTTCTTGAGAAAGGGTCTTGCTATGCAGTCCAGGCTGGCCTTGAACTCAAGGCAATTCTCCCGCCTCAGCCTCCCAAGTGCTGGGTTATTTTCTTATTCTGAGACAAGGTCTCTCTGTCACTGAATTACTCAGGCAGGGCTTGAACTTGTGATCCTCCTGCCTCTGCCTCCCACAATGCTGGGACGACAGGCGTGCGCCACCATGCCCAACTGCAACAAGTAACATTAAAAGGGAAAAAAAATAACACAGAAGTGGGACTTCCAGGAAGAACATGCGCTGTGCAGTCTCCACCTCCAGTCGCTCCCTTGGCGACCCATGCCACGTCAGACACTGTGTTCTTGGCACTCTCAGGTTAGAGGGCTAAATAAGAACCACGTGCGAAAGACTTGTGGACCCCGACGTTAGGAAATGCCTGGAGAACACCAGATCTGCCCTACTCCTCAGGGCTGCTGCCAGCAAGGAGGCTCAGGGAGTCAGGCGCTTCTTACCTTGCAAGGCCTCTTCACATTCATCCAACTTTCGCTTCTTGTAAGTGGGCTACAGATACAAAGAGGCAGGAATTAGCCTGCCCTCCACACCCACGGGCCAAGCACAAGCCTTCAGCCAGTGTCTTCCCTTCCTTGACCCCGTGGGTTGCCTTATCGACTTCTGTACAATTTCCCAAACAGCTTTAAAAAACAGCTCTTGCCAGAAAGCAACTCGCACTGCGTTGAGAACCCCAAACTTGCAAGAAATATGATACATTTAAAGCAATCAAAGAGAGAAAAAGATACTCCAAAAAACAGGAAAAAGCAATCAAGGCAGGTTAAGAAAAATTACAGGAATATGTACAATCTGCTAGTTCTACACATTAATACAATATCCAATCAACAAACATGTCATTAGCACGTGCTTCATAGCGGGAACAAAACCAGGGACTGAGGATACAAAGGTGTATTTATCAAGAGTGCTCCGTGGACCGGGGATTTAGCTCAGTGGTTTCACCGCCTGCTGCGCAAGTGCAAGGACCCGAGTTGGATTCTCGGTTTAAAAAAAAAAAAAAAAAAAAAAGGTGCTCCTGCTCTCCGGATGCACAAGGCTGATCAATGAGACAGTGATGCAGACAGAGGACATTCCAGTTCCACACCTGTGATAAGAGCCTGTGGACACGTGACTGACAAAGAGGAGATGCTGTGGAGCCAAAGCAAAGATAAAGAGCACAGACACACAGCTAGGACTTCTCAAGCCAGAACAACTCAAGGGGGAAGAAAAGTCTTTTTATTTTTTTTTGGTACCAGGGATCAAACTCAGGTCCTTGCACTTGCAAGACAGGCGGTGGAACCACTGAGTCAAATCCCTGGCCCAAAGAAAAGTCTTGTTCAGAGCCCAGGGAAAAGGCGGGGAACATGGGGGAAGCTGCAGGGAGCACAGTCTTATTTGAAACTCACTCTCTGCCACTGAAAGCAGCATTAACATATTCTCCTCGTGTCATGGACGGACACAGGAGTTAAAAGGAATAAATACACTGGCATCAGGGCCGGGGATTTAGCTCAGTGGTTCCGCTGTCTGCCTCACAAGCAAGCGGAAGGACCTGAGTTTGATCCCTGGTACCAAAAAAAAACCCCCCAAAACAAACAGAAAAATACACTGGAGTCATCTCGTCTATAACTCTCCGGGTCTTAGTTCCCACATATAAACCCCACTTCCTTTAAACTTCCAAGGAAACAGAGGACTGAGGACCTATTGCTCAAGAAGGCAACGATGACTCCAGGACACTTACGCCATCCAGTCCGTCGTGGCTGTTGGTGAGGAGAATGGGGTCCGGGACTGGGAGATTCATGTCCGAGTGGATCTGAGTTAGGTCATGGATATTCAGGATTGGTTCCTGAAAGAGACACCCAAACATAACATCAGTCTTTTCAAGTTAAACAGAGAAGTGTTTCATTGAAAGGGTAGGAAACACAAAACAGAACAGAATCAACAGTTTGTCCCATTTCTCAGAAAGACTAGGGCCAAAAATAGCTAATTTAAGGAAAGAAAAGTATCTCTCACCTTCAAAAAACTATCAAGTTCTAACAATTTCTTTGGGAAAAAATTTGCCACCAAATCTTCTGCCTGGATAGGGGAAACACACCTCAATTAGTAACCGTGGGAAGGTCTCTCTACAAATATCTCCTCTTTGGGAAACTCCCATCAGGCACGTTCATTTTTCTATTTCACTCACCTCACTTGTGATTCGCTCCCTGAAAGAATCAACCTGAAGTAACAAGGACAGAGGTTCAGTAAGAGCAATTCATTATTTGGCAGCTGAGGCCAGGCCAGGACAAGGAATCCCAAACCTAGCTGTCTTTCCCTCACCTTGAAGTTATAATGAGAAACTAAGAGGCCCCCAGACTGCAAATACTTTCTTTTTTTGAGGATCCATTTCTCCATTGTGGAGAGGAGTCAGCTCCTCTCTCTCCTCTCCCCTCTCCCCTCCTTTCCTTCCTCCCTCCCTCCCGGTGTCTGGAGCTATTTGAATTTGCTAAGCAGACAAAAGAGAGCTATGGAGGGGCGTGAGCTCACAAACGCCCAACTCCCGCCAGACGCGACGCGATGCTGGACCCGCCGACACCCGAGAGTGGGTCGGGCAGCGGCTGGGGCGGGGACGGCGCGGGGCTGGGATTGCAGCCGTCACCGGCTGGCGGCTGGGAGCCGAGCACGTGTCCACGGGCCCCGGCCGGCCCGGCTCTGCGACCCCAGGCGAAGGCAGAAAGCCTCCATCGCTCATCCGGGCCCGCAATGCCCAACCCGAGGTGCGGGACTGGGTCGAATCGCGAGAAGACGCCGAGCTGGTGTCCCCAGGGAGACAAAGACGCCGCGGGGCGTCCCGGGGCTCGAGGTGAGGGGCGAGGGGCGAGGGAGGCAGGACCAGTACCGCTACCTTGAGCTTCACTTCCTGATCCACCTTCAGCAGCGAGGCCATGGCCGGGCCGGGCCGTGTCCGCTCCACTGGAGACCAGAGGCGCTGCGGGCTCCGGGGAGGGGGCCGGAGGGACCTGAGGAGTCTCCGCTGCCCTCGGGACCCGGCCGCCCTCGCTGGCTCTCTGGCCGCTCGCTCGCTCGCTCCCTCCGTGCCGGCGCCCGCCCACCGCCTGCAGCCTGCTCGCTAACCTGCTCGCCCTCCCGGCTTTCGCCGCTCACGCCGGAAGTTGCGTCACAGGTCGTCGCCGGGACTCGCGGGGAGGTGCGCGTAGTCCGCGCAAGCGCGCTGGGGCTCGACCTGCGCCGGGGCGGGACTCTCGTCTCCCGGGCTCCGGGGTTCCGGAAGCGGCGAAGGGAAAGAGAGGTCGCTGAGGGCTGAGGGTTACCGAGGAAAGAGCTGCCGAGATACCCAGGGACGATTGGACCCTCCGTTGGCCTAGAACGCTCCTTCAGCAGAGACCCTCACCGTTGCCGCCCGCAGGACGACCCCGTCGCGCCCTAGTGACGTAGCGGGAGGAAGCAGACGGTCGGAGCCGGAGCCGAGTTCGGAGTCGGTATACGCCCCCTCGGCCGCCGCTGTGGGCTAAAGCTGGAGCCACACAGATAGGTTCTCTTGTGCCCGTTTCCCCGCCCCTGACGATGAACGCCCAGGCCTCAGAGACCAACAGCCTGATGGGCAGGTTGATGCCCCAGTCTGGACCAGAACCAAAACTGAGTCCGTTTCCTCAGGGAAGGAAGTCTGAAACCACGTCTCTTCGCTCTCCAGGGCACGCGGTGCGTCTCTTAACATTGGCTTTTCCACTCCATTAAACGGGCTAGGATGCCGTAGGGTGCCAGGCTCCGATATACGTCAAAGTGTTCTAGTAATCACATTTTAAAAAGGAAATGAGAGAAGATGAACTTAATTTTAATCATTTAAGTCCAATTTATCCAGTCAGCCTTATGTGTAGGTTTGGGATCCACAGGATCCAAACAACAGCCAATGCAAAACACACACACAAAGTGCACATGTCCAGACTTTAATTGTCGTTTTTCCCTAAATGATACATTATAACAACTATTTACATAGCATCTTCATTGTATTGGGTAGTACTAATCTCCCAGGGATGCTTAGAGATGACTGTACTATTAACATGTGATCTGTATAAGAAATACCAGAGCTGGGTGTAGTGTCCCATGCCTGTAATCCCAGCACTCGGGAGGCTGAGGCAGGAGGATCACCAAAAGTTTGAAGCCAACTTGGGCTATACAGTGAGTTCATGGCCAGAAGCCTAGACTACATAGTGAGACCCTGTCTCTAAAAATTTTTTATATCAAGTCTTCAACACCTGGTGTATTTTTTTCTTTTTGGTACCAGGGATCGCACTAGGGTCCTTGCGCTTGCGCAGCAGGCGACAAAACCACTGAGCTAAATCTCCAGCCCCCTGGTGTATGTTTTTACACTTAACCTCATTTCTCTGTGTGGGGGCCTTGATTATGCCCAAAGCAGGCTGTAAGTGCAGTCTGTGAAGACCTAACTCCACAATGGGCTTGTTTTGAGAAGCAAGTCTAGCCAAAACCTACGTGCCAAGGTCAGAGTGACTCTAACCCAAATTCCCTTCCCACAATTAAAACCTTAACTAGAAGGACGAGGTTATTTGCTAACTACAGGCCTATATTTTGTCTGTTCCGTTCCTCATTCAAGAATGCTTTGTCTTTTCCTTTACAAACCTTGCCTGCATCAGTAACATGTCTATAGCAACTGGACATCCCCTCATGTAGCCCCTTTACCGCAATCTGATCATGATGTCATCAATAAATAGCACTGGCTGTCCTGGTTCCCCACTTTTTTCTTTAATTCTGTCTGAGTCTTTCTTCAACCCGGTGTCATACACTGGGCAGGAGACTGGAACCTACTGCAGAGGTCTCCAGTATCTGTGTGGTGGTGCCACATTTGTGATCCTCAATAGCTACCTGTGGCTCAGCTCTGGGAAATAAAAGGTAAACAGAATTCTCAAGGTCTCCAGTGTGGTGGGGCATAATACTGGAAAGACACCAAAGTACACTCACAACATAATTGCAAATTTTGATTAATGTTAGGAAATAAATGGCTGACAAGATAAGCTATCTATCTGCTTAATGCTCAGCATTAAGAAATCAGCCCTCAGACTAGTAGTTACCATCATTCTGGGAGGCCTTGCTCAGGAGAGAGTTATTGTCTCCCATTTCCAGAGGCCAGAAGTCTAAGCCAAGCTGTCCAAGGACCACGCCCCTCTGGAGGCTCTAAGGAAGAATTTGCTGGAGACCCAACTCCCAGCTCCTGGCAGCTTCAGGTGTCCCTTGGCTTGGAAATGACAGTGTGTCTCTTCACTTCATCTTCCTTCCGCATGAATCTTCCTCTGTATCCAGATTGCCCCTTCTCGTGATGATACCAGTCATAGTGGACCCTGATGAACTCACTAACTTGATCGACCACAAAGACTCCATTTCCAATCAGGACGTGTTGAACACCTTTTGAATGGGAGGGGCACAGCCAACCTGAAAAACTTACATCACCTGAAACGATCTTACTCATTCACCATGTGTATGGCTAAATTCTCTCCTCTAGAACAAAAACCATGTTGGCAATTCACTAGCCATTCCCTCAGATCTGGAAGAGTGAACTACACACAATAAATTCTCAGTAAACATGTTGAATCCATTGCTCGGGGTACGTTGTTGGTTATTCAGGACCCCTCAAATACTGCATGCAGTAACTATCACATACTTTATACTTACATCACACGGGGCGTTTTCTTGTGCCAGGTAAGGCTCACTGTGTTTCATGTAAGAACTCACCTTCCTTCACACTACCCTGTGTCACGCACAGGGCTTTGTGATATTCTCATTTTGTAAATGAGAAACAAGGCTCTGAAGAGTTGAGAAACTTGCTGAAAGCCACAGGATTGATGATGTCAAAGATAGGCTTGAAGTCGAGTGGCTGGGACATCTGTCTTGGCCCCTCTCCTCACTGGGACACAATAACCAACGCCCCCAACTTCAAGGAAGAGGGGTTTATTTGGCACACGTTTTCAGCCCATGGGCAGCTGCTCCAGGGCAGGACAGCAGGGCCGAGGAGCCAGCGGAGGAGAAGGTGCTCAGACCATGGCAGCCCGGAAGGAGGGAGAAGGGAGGCACCTCTAAGCCTGGTCACACCTCCCGAGAGCAAGTCAGCTGTGCCTACAGCACCCCGGATCCAGTCCCTTCCAAACACCGGAGGCTTTGGGACGTTTCAGATCTAAACCGTAACAGCATGCAGCTGTTCAGTGGCGGTCAGTAGACTCCCTGCCACCCCAGAAGCCCGCTACTCATCTAGGCTTTTGTGACAGTTGTCAGTGGCCGCTGGGCAGGAAGAAGGGGAAGACGCCAGGCCTAAGTGTGAGTCCACCCAGCTCCCCTAGAGGGCGCCTCGCGCTGGAAGATCGCGGCGGAAGGAGGATAAGTCCTTTTTTTTTTTTTTTTTTTTCCTTTTGGTACCGGGGATCCTTGCACTTTCGAGGCAGGCGGCAGAACCACTGAGCTAAATCCCTAGCAGTACCCAGGGAAATTGATCTACTTCCACGGATCGCACCGATCCCGCAGCAGGGACAACATCCGTTTAAAACTATAGAGAAGTCACTTCGGAGAGTGGAGGTGATTCTCTAAGCAACATAAGTCACCAAGAAAAGTAGAGTTGACTTCCTAAAAATGTAAACATTTTTGCACACATGGAAAATATCGTACCTTGCCAAACCATTCGTGAAAATTGGAAATTTTTGAGAAAAAGATTAAGAATGCAATAGACAAGTGAGCAAAGGATCCATACATAATTCATAAAAGAGGAACTACAATAGGCAAATATAGGGTAAATCTTCAGCTTTCCCAATAATTGGTGATGCCGGTTAAAATACCAGGGAAGTGCCTTTTGTTTTTGCTTTTGTCCCTCCAGTATATGCTCCACAGTAGTGGTGCAGGCATCCAAAACAGCTCCCTCTAACATTACTGGAGATGCGGAAGAATTAATGCCAACCACTCTGAAGACAGTTGCCAGTGTTAAGAGACATGAAAAGGCCACAGTCTTAGTTCCGTAACCCCAGCTATTACGCACTATCATAAGGCGGCAGCAGCTCTTTGCTGTAGTATTGTCATCAGCAAAGCTGGAGTTACATAATGGAAATTTTCAGCAATAAAAAAATACATTAAAGGGCTGGGGATTTAGCTCAGTGGTTCTGATGCCTGCCTCAAAAGTGCAAGGACCTGAGTTCGATCCCTGGTACTAAAAAAAAAAAAAAAAATTAAA